AAAACGAAAGAGAAAGATAGAACAAACGAATGGCAAATTACAGAGCTCAAGGGTCGTATCTGCGCCACCGTAGAAGTGCAAGAAAAAGAGCAGAGCGCTGGCTCGTCCATTTGTAATAAATGAGCGCGCTTGCTGGCAGCTCGGTTCTCTAGGACTAGACCGCGCGCAAATTATGTTGGGATCGATGAAACGGATCGTTATTTTTCTCCTCTCGGCTATTCTCTTTCCTTCTTCACTTCACCCTAGGCGTCGCGCGAGCAAAGAGTTGCCAAGGTGTTCTTCTCTCTTTCCAACCAAGTGGCTCTTTTTGAGAAAAAAAAAAAAAAAAATGCACTAATTTTTCAGGATTTAGCTGGATTAAACTCTCGTTAAGTTGACACTGAAAAATCAGTTTTGCATTTGGCAAAAGAGCGCGCTGATTTCAAACGAAATAGAATCGTTTGAAAGCGCCCAAAAATGTCGATGGGATTTTGGTTTTTGAAAAAAATGTTACTCAATGTGTAGGGGACAGGGCAGAGCCGATATATGTCATGAGCTAGTATCAAATTTATTACTTCGGCTACATCGATTTCTCTGCGGATTATGTTACAATATCAGCGCATTGTATATTCTGACGTTCATTTTTCGAAAATAAAATAAAATAAAACAACGAGTATTTTACGCGTGGTAGCGCGTGCGCTGTTACGAGTATCCAAGTTTGAAGAATGCATGAAAACGTATTTTTCGCGAGAAACAGAGTAAACCTATTAAGGCACAATGCACTCATATTACTCTAATACACCACGCAATCTACATCTAAAAATATCCGGGTCAACCGAAAAGCAGACTATTTTCTGTCAAAACTTGCTAAATCTGGTATAATGCACTTCCGTCCACCCGGAAGGAGAAGGAAAAATGTCAAAAAGTCCGTGAAAAGCTCATAATGCTTAGCGGCTCTCCCTATCAAGCTGGACCATCGCGAGTGTATCCCAAGGGTTAACCAGAAGTGAAAATGGACAGAAGATTGATATCTGAAAAGGAAAAGCTGGCGAAAGATACGCGGGTGCCGATTGTAAAGGGTCAAAGAATTAGGCTAGTAAGGATTATCAGGTATGTACTTAAGGCGCCGCATTTAGATCGTCGGATGCACTGTATATTAGGGGCCGGGGTGTGCGTGAGTTTTGGCGGCCGAATGCTGCAGGGTGCACGCTGAAATCCGAGATGGGCCAGCTCGCGCGAAACCAAGAATGACAGAGATCGGGTTGCCCACTCGGACCACGCGGACCACCGGGCCGCGAGCCGCCAATTTCATCCTACCTGTTTTCGCTAATTGACCGGCTAAAGATGTGTAACTGGACCGCGCGTACGCCCTTCAGGTATTTGCTTTGTCAATTCTCTGTCTCGCTTCTTATAGCTGCATTGCCGTGTACGTGCCCTCGTCCCCCTTTTTGGCTCTTTTCCACTGGGAAATCCGTTGGGCCGACCTTATCTCGTTGTCGTTTTTTTTTTCTTCGACACAGTTGACGTGCTTCCACCTCGATCGATCCCAAAGTGACGAAAGCCTGTCGAAAACTCAATAAATGAAACAATCGCAAGCACGTAAACCGTCGAGAAAAGCGTATTTTGCGCGTGCACCTGTAAACGTTACAAGTACATCTCGCCTGCTTGATTCGCATTATACCTCCCTGCCTCGTAAACGCACTCATCCGCAAAGCAGTGCAGACGTTTCGAGTATACAAGCAACAAGAAAAGAAGGAGTCATAACCAGGAGGCACGCGTACGACCGCGTAATTGCATCATATGAACAAGTGCCCACATTATCGCGCCGCGGCTGCTTCAAAATTATCTCCGAATTTTCGGCTCGTCTTTCAACTCTCAATTAGTGCAGCTCCTCATTGGCGTCATTTGCCAAATCTCCGTCTTCGTGTGAAACAGCTCGTGCAAACATTCTGTAATTGCTTAATAATGCCTTCATTCTGCAAATGCACCAATCGATTTCTCGATAAAATGTTTGTGGAATAAATCTGCGAAGAAAATGAAGAAGAAGTACGCGCGAACGGAAAAAAACATTTTGAAGAGCGAATTGACTCTGAAGGTCGATTTTTTTCTTCGAACAATTGTCAAAAGCACGCGTAACATATTGCCGTCAAAGCACAGCGGCAAATTAGAGTGGCTTCCAATGTTCCGCATGCAACGGTATCAAAAAACTGCCGACTTAGCAGAACGATTAAATCTGAAAGAGGCGCGCGAGTTAGGAGGTTTTTTTTTGCATCCACGCCAGTTGTGCATAATAGTAGCTCTAAAGAGACGTTACGCGTCCCTTCGAAAAACTGATTGAACGGCTGTTAACTTTGCCAACTTGAAAAGAATTAGGCTCGTTTTGAAATGGCCTGAGCAATAAAAAAAATATTAAAATAGTAATATACCGCATCGATTCGTTTGGCGGGCGGAAAAAAATCTCAAAAGCGTCAAAGGGTTGAGTTCGAGAAAGAAGAAGCTGACGCGTTGCCGTGTCGACGATCCGCCTTAAAGTACTATGTGTGCACTTGAAAAAGAGAGGCCACAAAGTGAAGCGAAACTGCACACAGGAGAGTTGCGGCTACCGTGCGATATATACAATGGTTCTAATGAGGCGGCGGAGCGAGAGAGAAAATTTTGCGGCCTAGTTTGTCAAAATATGTGAGCACTTTGTAACCGTCTGTTAGAGGCTGCGAACACAAAAGCCGTGCGGACGCACACGTGAGTCCGCATAAATCAGTCGGCTAGCTATATACGGACACTGCGTGGATGTTTGTTTCTATGGTTTTTCAATTTTGACTAATTTATATTTGGCTATTTTGCGGTACAACTTGTCGTGTCGCGTGGCGTCTGGTCTGTCTCGCTTCGACTAATTTGGAACCCTTTTTCTTTGTCATTGAACATTTTGTGGTCAAAGCAATTTCCACTGACCAATTTTTGCATGTAATACCAGCAACAATAGTAAATCGCGTAGATTTTCTTTTTGACAGTACGAAAGAATACTAGACTCGAATCAATTTACATCTACATTCGGCGGAGTAACACTGACGATGAAAATGATTCTTCATGCCTGAGTTTCATTTCTCGATGCCTCCCCGAGTGAATATACGAAATGACAAAGAACCAAATATCGGAAAGGAAGTACATATGACGTGTGGGAAAAAAGAACTGCACAGAATCGGTCCATAAAAAACTGTATTTGAAAAGATCCAGCAGCCAATTTCCACTCTTCCTTCAATTTTTCTCGCTGCAGATATACGTATACTGACTTTCCCATTGAGGCGGTGCGTCACTCGAAAAACTCGTTCTCTCGATGCGCGCACCACGCGAGTTTACATTGTATTACGCGCAGGCGTAAGGAATGAAAAAGCAAGTAAATTGAAGTTCATTGTGGGCGCGTATTACTCACTCGATGTTGATATAGGGTGGTCGATAAGCGCGCTGCTCGAGATTTTGATTCGGCATTGTAGTCGGAGAGAGGCTCATGACAGCCTAAATAATGATAGGCGAAAAGAGAGTATATAGCCCCTCGAGCCTGGATAAACATGTAAGGGCGGCAGGTACTCACTCTCTCTTTGGTGCTATTGTCATTATGCTACGCGCACTCTGCGCATGCTCAAGCCCAGCCGCCCGTATAACATCCACGTAATCTTTTCTCTCCCCTATGCCTGATGCAACGACGACTCTTGGTTTATTTGACGAGCCGCTTAAGCTTGTTATGCTCGTATAAATATGCATGCCGTGTTTGATGAATTTTGGGGCTGCCTTACGGAGCTTTTCTTTCCTCCGTATGCGTACACTTTTATGTTACGACAGCTCTGACTCTCGCGGTCAGTCGAGCGCAACGATTTGACCTTTACATCCGCGCGTACACCGCGTCTGATTCCCGTCCACGACGACTGGCAATAATTCTTTACCGCTATATTGCCTACATCGAGTATTCACGCAAACGCAGCGCGCAGGTCAATGTTAATGGCAAGTAAAATATACGAGCGAGCGCGCCGGCTTTGATTGAAAAATATAGCGATTGCGCGCGAGCGCGCAGTTGCGTTTATAGCGGCTGAACGTTTTCTAATCGTCGTGTGCACGAGTGACGCAGCGCAAAATGCATCGCGATCGCAATAATTGCGCGCACCCCTCGTCGATCCTAGAGTCGCGCTCGCCGCCGCGGTGTAGTAGCGCACGCGCGCAACCCAAACACGCGCCACCAATTTACGTTCTCAGCCAGTCGTGCGTGCATCGCGCGGCCGCTCTCGCCCGATTAAATTGTTGCGTGGAAAACCAATTTTTTTTTTCCTCCGGGGCTGACTGTTTATCTTGCTTCCCCAACCCCATCCCCCATTACCGGCGCGACAGCGCTCCAATCATTGGCTCGAGCGGGACTCTAATCGAATTTCACATAAACGAAACTACCGAGAATCGCTCGAAGACGAACGAGGAGGGAAGGGCAATCAATCCGTATCCGTGTCAAAGGCGCGTTATCCTCTGCCACGGTAAGCCAGCACAGGCAGCAGCTACTTCCGACTGGCCAACGACGCGGTGCAATATTTGGCGTAAGCCGCCGAAAAATTGAAGCCCGCCACAGAAGAGGGAAGTGGCGCGCGATCTAATCGCCACACGCACGAGCTCTGCTCCTCGTCGTCGCGGGCGATAAGTCTCGAATTACGAGTCGGGCTAATCGATCGCTGATCGCTTCATTCCCTCCCCTAGGTACTACGGGCTGCAATCGAATCGAACAAGAGCCTCGCGCGGCAGCGTGACTTTCTCCCTACGGCGAGAGAGAGAGAGAGAGAGAGAGGGAGAGAAAGATCTAGGCGCCGCGGGGCCACCTGTTGCCGCCGAGCGCGGCAGAGAGATGGGCCGAGCCTTGGAGCGCTGGAGGGGCTGACGGCCCGGTCGCCCATTGGTCGACGGGCACGTGCTGGCGCGAAAGGGGGTGGCACGGCCGAGTCCTTAAATCCGCGGGCGCAAGCGTCCCGCGGCCTGAGAACTCGTCTCGCGCTCGGCCGGAGCAGCAGCCGTCCTCTTGCAGTGCGCTCCCGCGTCGAAGGGCAAAGCCGAGCAGAGCGAAGTCGCGAGGTTGTGCGCGAGTGTGCCCCGATACGAGTGCCAAGCGCAGCCGCGGACGTCGGCCATGGAGCTGCAGGAGGTGTTCCGCTACAGCTACATGTTCCCCGAGGAGCTGCCGACCTACCTCGAGCTGCCGGCCGGCTACGGCGGCAAGCTCGCCGGGCTGCCGCCGATGAGCAGCATCGCGCAGCACCAGCACCAGCCGCAGACGCTGCTTCAGCAGCAGTGCAACGCCTACGACAACAACAGCGACGGCTGGCACACGCCGAGTCCCGCGGGCTCACTGCGCTCGCTCAGCCCGGCAGCCACGCCGATCTCCGTGTCCGAGCCGGAGACGACGGCTTGCCACCGCCAGCTCGGCCTGGCGCAGATCCAGCACTACGAGCACCAGCCGCAGCCGCACTACGTCGACTACTCGCAGCAGCCGGTGCCGCTGCCGGCGCAGCTGCAGCCGCAGCCGCAGCAGCAGCAGCCGCAGCAGCCGCAGCAGCAGCAGCAGCAGCATCAGCAGCAGCAGTCGCAACGCGACGAGGAGCGGACAGCGTGCGAGCCGCCGGCCAGCAAGCGGCAGCGAGTCCAGTCGGAGCACAGCAGCGTCAACTCCAGTCTGGAGGAGAGCGACCTGGACGAGCTGGAGGAGCACTCGACGAGCGGCAGCTCGAGCGGCGGCCGACGAGGCAAGCAGGTCAGCTCGACGGTCGTGCGGAAGCGCAGGCTGGCGGCGAACGCGCGCGAGCGCAGGCGCATGCAAAACCTCAACAAGGCCTTCGACAAGTTGCGCACCTACCTGCCCTCGCTCAGCAACGACAGGCAGCTGTCCAAGTACGAGACGCTGCAGATGGCACAGTCCTACATCTCCGCGCTCGCCAATCTTCTGCAGTAGCTCTTCCCGGCAGATCGACCGTTTCCTGTAAATACCTCTTGTTGCCTACGTTCACTGTACATAAGTCGTTGGAACGCTCATCCTATAGTTTACGTTCTTTAAGAAGGTTTCTGTAAATAGCGGACGCGAGAAGTGTTGATTCGCCGTGTGCGATCTGTCTGTGCCACTGATTTTTTATGCTTTACGCGAGCGTTTTAGGTCATTCAGCTGGTGCAAATGATATATCGACTAAGTTATTTAATTCTAATGCGTATTTATATAGTTTCATGCAACGACAACAAAAAATCTGTAAGAGACTGACTATCGTACATAGTTATTTATATTGACGCTGTTAAATAAAAAATAAGTTAAATTTATACATAATCTTATTTACTGGATTTTCTGTCATCTCCTTTACCTATACAGGTTGACCATCGCAATCCTGACATCCAAAATAATTGCCAATCACAAAATACCACCAAAAGACAAATAAAATGTTCATTTGCAGATCTTTCAATTTCAAATAATTGATTTATCATTAAAACTATAATATAGCAGAAGATGTTATAATCTTTTAAAATATACTTACAGGGGTAATAAAAAAGATAAGAATTTGCTGGAAAACGTGCTCGACTTTTAAAATGACTTTAGAAAAGACTGTCAGTATAATGAGAAAAAAAATGGAAAAAAAGAAATTCTTTCCGCGACGACTCGATCGTTAAAGTTACGCTGTTTCATGTTGACCGCTAGTGGGCCCATGCTGCGGAAAATCGGTGATTCGCAACGTCTAAAGAACTCTGCTCCCTTTTTCCTTGCCGCTAAGCATGCACCTATTGCTTATACCTGCTGTACCAACGCAAGCGCATTACAGCTGATTCACGGGCTGCCCTTGGGACGCTGCCGTCTCCGACGACTAATTGCCTTGGTCCCATTTTTCAAGGCGCGTTTCAGTTGGCATCGGGTTCCCAACTACCGAAGAAGGGTTATTTATCATTTCTCTATTTTTGCTTGCTTTCATTGTTCCACAGTTCAAATTTCAAGTTTTCAATTTTACCTCAACGTTGTTTCCTGTTATTAATTGTAAATTGATTTTTACCGGGACTTTTAAGCTTCTCTCAACTCCAATACAATAAATTTGTCAATGTATTCTGTGAATTAATCGACGCAAATACAAATGGAATTTTAAATATCTCGAGACTACTTTCGAGACATCTGTTAAAAGTAATATTTTAATTAGATTAGAATTTCCAAATACCCTTATAAATTTGAGACGTCCGCCAAAAGTAAGGTATTATGGCGGCTTAGTAATCCTACGCGCCTTATGAAGGAGAGGTAACCGATTCTACAAGTCCGCAAAATTAAAAGCCAATTGAAGCGCGAACGAAGCGACGACCACAATAGCGACGGATTTCTACAGAAAGTTTGTCTTCGAGTGATAAACGAGTGCAGTATATACGACAATCGTACAGCTACAATTGTCGTAGGCATTTTCATGTGAATCGTCGAAAAATAAGGCAGGGTCGCGCGCGTCGTTGCTCATCGGCGGTGGTCTTACGCTGGACACCCGAAACCCAGTGACGCTCCGGTGCCAGGTTTCGTCGCAATCCGAGAGCCTATCGCAGCTTCCTTCGTATGCCTAGGCGTGCGCCCGCTCGCTTGTTCTTTTATCGACTTTAATCGCCGCTTACATCCTCGAGAAAGCGTTCGGCTACCATTTATCACTTGTATACCCACAATCGACGCCCGCCGATTTTAACTACGGCGCTTTCGAAATCGCGTCCGTCGCCGACGGACCGGGCCGACCCGTTTGTTCATAACAACTGCGCAAACGTTAGCTTTCGGCAATAATTGACCAGAGATGAAATAGCGCGACGTACGACCGCGAATAAGTGGCTGCTTTGCATCGCGACCGCCGGTTTTACGATCTGTCAGACCTTTCTAATTGAATGAATCGCGCAAATTGCAACTTCGCGCCATTTACGCGTTGCAGCGGAGGGAAAGTTGTAGCCGTGCGGGCTTGGAAAAAGGAGCCACCTACCGGGCGAAATTGCGCATTGGGTATGTCGCCAAGCAATAGCGGCGTTGCCGTTTCCGAGCGTTTTCCGGCTGTTCAGACCTCAGTTTTCGCCAAATCGTTCGGCAAAGCGAGCTCGCGAAACGCGGCGCGCCGGGAGGAGCGGGCAACGAGGCGCCGCCAAAGGCGCTTTTCAGGCTCGGCGCGCCACACGCAGCGCTCGTAAGCGTAAGCGGCAGCGAGCGCAGCATCCCTCGATTATCCGTTACGCCGTTGCGCGCTGTGCGGCGCGCGCGCGCGTGCGTCGGGCGCTCGCTCGCCCAAGTGCATTCGTCGGGTCGTAAAGCGCGCCGCGCGTAGCGCAGGACGACCCGCGCCACTTATATACACTCGTAAGTATAACGTTCCGCGGCTAATGCGCCGCGCAAGCCCCCTCGACACTTTACATACTCTCCTCTCGCCGTGCCTGTTTCTTTTTCGTGTCCGCGGCCGCGCGCTTTTGTTTCCGAGCGAGCGCGTGTCTCGCCGCCGATGCGTGCGCGCGCGCGCGCGCTCGCCGCCGCCAGCGTTCAGTGCCTGCCACGGCGAATGACGCGTGCACGCGCGAGGATGACTTATTACGCGGAAAGTTACGAGCGTTAAAGGCACGATAAGTGTGCCGCTATAAGCTACCCGGTAGCTACGCCTCGCTCGTGCCCCTGCGGACTCCGCTCCTTACTTTGCTTTTATCTCTCTCCCGGTGCGTTCCGCGCCACGCATCCTCGGCTCATTTTCATCTTCTGCGCGAAATCATTCGCAACTTCATTCCGCGATCTTGATAACGTTTAAGATTATCGTGCGTTATCTCCGCTTCATTTCTAGTTCTCTCTCATCTCCGTTACTCGTCGAATTGCGCCAAATGCTATACAATTCTGCCAATCTGCGTATCCTAATGTTCCCAACTCACTAATTTATTACTTCGGCAATTATTTTTTAACGATAACATTCAATTAATAACATTTGTATTCTACTCATCCAACTAACTGCACGCGAAAGAAATGGTAATGTTTATAACGTTCAAAGAATATATCAACTATATCTGACGGAACAAGAAAATGCTATATATCGTGTGATCGGTCAGCTCACTTATTGCAGTGTTATCCGATAAAAAATATTTGTCAATTCCTGAAAGTAAAAGAAATATTGAAAATCAAAATATTGATTCGCTATCGAGCTTTTCACACTATACTTAACGTCTGGAAAATACCGATTGTGCCATCGATATCTCATTTCTGAAGTTCACAAAGAATCGGGAAATCCATCAATTTGTTTACGTTTAAAATTGGTTGTGCTTTCGAGTTTAAATTATAGAGTTTCTCTCGTTGTCAATAATTGCTGTTTGAAAATAAACACATTTTTTAGACTCTTAATTGGCTTAATTGGTTGCGGACAGTGATAAGTTATCTGGCTGTGAAACGGCGTATATCAAGAACATAGGATACAGTGTTGCAACAAGTTTTTCCTACTATAAACATTTGTCGCTTATATTTACTTTGTAATCCCCCGTGGACTAAAAAGATTATAAAATCTAACTTTTGTCTTGAACTTGATCAGTCTACTCTGTGAAAGCAGGTCAACTGACTCCATAGTTAGGTCGATCATCATTGACGCTAATACTGACACATTCGCATACATCGATCCAAAAGTAAGCTTCACGATGACATCGGTACGTTGAATTATTTGCATTTTCAATTAAGTATATAAACTTTTTGCAGTCGATATAATGTCAACGTTACAGCTTCTATCTTCAATTTTTACCATCGCTTGCATGGTTCAACAAATGCAAGTTCACGCAAAACAAAGTGATTACTATCAAAAAAACAATTGGAAGGAATCTAATCGAAAAATTGCGTTTTACATGGGATGCTATATCAAAGATCGGTTTCGTTATGATTCTGACTTCCTTCAACCTCCCTGTAATATCACAACGGAATTATCAAGTGCTCGCGGCTCAGTCGAAAGGCTAACTTGCAACGTTGACAAGCCACCTTTTACCAATTTGTTGAATCTTTACTACGAAGTTTCAGCACTGGTCAATCCTAACATTGTTATACTTTACAGTACTGGTAAAAATTGGGTTAAAATCCGCATCGTTCGTATGAGAGAGTGTCGCTACCGCGACGTATTCATCGAGGCGGATCCGGTGAAGTACAATGATTTTGGAACGGTTGAAGTGAATGTGACATTGAATGACCAAGACGACACCTTCGACGTTTACTACGAAGATAAACGCGAGTGCCGGAATGGAATTTGCGTAAACACCTACGATTTCAGTGGTAAATTACTCGATGGCCCATATAACGTGAGTCGTCCTATCAGAAATCCAAATAAAGATAAAATTACCTACGTTTTTGGAGAACAATACAGTGGAAATATTGGCTTGACTTACGATTGCGAGATCATTAAATTGGTGTCATACGGTGGTCACGACACAAGTCAAATTCTGTTCAAGCTACCAAGATCTGACGTAAGCGTTCTTTCAATATCAACCAAAAATAAATTGTTTGGGCTTTGCTACAAGTGGAATGGATACCAGCGAGCGGCTTGCCTGCAATACGACGACAAAGGAAGACAAAAACTGAACTCAACGTTTTACTATCCACAAGGCTGGACGAGCATGAGAGTGACTAATCGCTACGAGGGGAATTTCACAGTGCTGGCTACTAATTGTACGATAGACGATTGCGAAGCCGAACGCGACGTTAAACAAGTTCACATATGGGACAAAAAAATCAAGTACGGAGCACCTCATGGATTTATACCGCGATTTTGTAGGTCGCGTGTGGGTGACAAGTCGAAAATTGAAATCAGCTTCGATTATGCTATATACTTGAACTGTAAGCCAAGCATGCGCGGTAGCTCTTATTCTTTTATGTTCAAGTCGTGGTGTTCGGAATTCATTAGGTGTAGCCCTGTAATATTGTAAATATGACGTTAGGTGGTAATTAATGGCGCGAATTTTCTCAGAAGTCATGTGCTATTTTATTGATAGAATATGTATAAGAAATTATATATACTTAGAATTTTGCATGGAAACACGAATAAACGCCGTACGCATGTGTTATTACTTATTTCCAACTTTATTTGCGGAAATACATTCGAGACTATTAGAAACTTTGTATACTGATATGGGGAGCAGCAATGCTACGCGAAGAAAAGAAAAGATGATCTAATAAACAAAGCAAATAAATAAAAGATGAGGCTAGAATAATGAGAGAAGGGAGAAAATAGAAATACGAGGAGAAGAAAAGAAACGGAGCAAGCATTAAAAAAGAGTGATTGAGTTGAAGTGCTCAAATCCAATTGAAATGCAGC